TTTGTCAAGTTTATGAACTGTAATAGCTGACTAATCTGATATTAAGTTCTTTGCTGAGATCTTTATTTCACTAATAGTTAAGAAGATTAAACAGCTTTCTTTTCATAATCTTCAGAGTCAAATGCTCAGTAGAGAAGAAGAATCAAGACATGACTTTTTCAATCTGATTCATGACTCTCTTACTTATATCATTGTTAAATATCTGTAATATTATCTCTCTTAATAGATAATTCTTATACAACAGTACACTCAACATCTGAAATATTTATACTTATACTCAGTGAGATTATTATCATCATAATTTGTATTTTCAATGTTAATTTCATGAACTTCTTAAAGTGAATATTCTGATTCACTTCAGATACTTGAGATGTAAAATACTGAATAATATTATTAATGAAAGAGATATTAGTATTATTAATATTCTATCTATTATTCTGACAGATCTGAAGAAGTATTGATTGAAAATATTACACTGCTTATTCAATCTTAACATGACTATTAATAAAGACAATAATCTTTAAAATATATTAAGATATAATCTTTGCAAATGCCTGTGCAGTGTCTTGAGTGAAAGTAAACAGTTTTATTTTTCTGTCTTTCATACTTTTCTTTAACAGATCTGTAAGAGAGATAGTAATTTATAAATATATATAGATAAATCATGTGTAGAAATTTACAAATTCTAGAAACATCTGTATCTCACAGTATATTTATAACACTGATCAGTTCTCAATAATAAAGACTTAGCTTCTATTCATTGAAATGCTGTTTATCTTAATAATATAATCTAAGAAATCAATTTTCTGCATGTAGAATGAGTATTTTTCAGTGTTTATATAGAGTTAATACTGTCTCAAGTAACTTAACACTTCTTGAATATAAGTATTATATTCTTTCTCTGTTTCTGAGAAGATTAGAATGTTGTCTAAGTATACTATATAGATGATATTAACAAGGCACTACAGTATCTCATTTATATAGATTTAAAAGATGACTGAAGTATTACAAAGATTAAAAGATAAAACAAGATATTCAAAATTACTGTATTTAGTATAAACAGCTGTTTTTCAAATATTGTCTTTATTAACTCTGATTCTATGACAGATATTCTGTATATCAATCTTTGAGAATATCTTTGCTTCAGATAATTAATCAATTATCTTGTTAATTAATAATAATAAATAGTGATTCTTAACTATTATCTTATTAAGATCTCTGTAGTCTATGTATAGATATAGTCTACTGTTCTTCTTAAGTACAAAGAGTATAGATGTCTCTGCTATAGTCTTTAATAAGTATATTTAGTTCTTTGATTATACTTTCTCAAGATATTTGCATAGAACATTCAATTTCTTTATAAACAAGTTGTGAAAAAGTCTGTACAGTGCTATTACATCATGTTCAAGATAAATCTTATATTATATATTAGTATCAGAAAACTTCACTACTTCTCTTTCTAAAAAGACATTCTTATAATCTGTAAAGAGATATTATATATATTCATTTTTAATAATGAATACTGCTGCTAGTCTTGTAGTAAGAGTAATAACTTCTTCATCTATTTTCAAGTCTCAGTTATCTACTATATAGTATATTAACTCTATCTTTTTCTCAAGATTCTTCTAATAAAACTCTTCAGATTTCTCTATTACTATCTCTTTATTAGTAAGATAATACTGTTATATTTGAGTAACTTAGTTAATGAGAGAATTGTTTTCTCTTAATTACAGAAGATCTAAAATAACATTCTTATCTATAATATTAACTATATAAAGAAGTAGACTACTCTTCTTAAAGATTTCTTCTAAGTCTGTGATTATATACTTCACTTAAATTATATTCAAACAGTGATATTTTATTTTATTAGTAAATTTTATATAATTTGATAAGTCTATCTTCTTTCAACTCTTTATCAAAGAAAAGAAATAGAATATGAAGTTAATATCTACTCTGAAGTTAAGTAGGCATCTTATTAATATCTTCTTATTCAGAGTATTTATTATAATTATAATATAAACTCAGAGATATAAGAATTATTAATTCTTTATTTCTTTCTCTTTCTCTTTTATAAATACATTTATTAGAAGATAAGTTAACTTTGAGAAAATATCTTCTTAGTTTCTTTTCTTCTTCAGCTTTGTATAATTACTAGTATAGTAATTATCAGCTTTACAGTTAAAATAGAGATTTTTATCAAATTCTTTTTAATATTTCTTTATAGTGAGTGAAGAATCAGAATACTTAAAATTCTTCTTTACTTTCTTCACACTGAAGCTATCACAGTGCTGTTTAAATTCTATTATTAATTACTTAGAAGAGATCTTATTAATCTTTTTCTTAGAGAATTAATTATTTAAATAGATTTAAGAAGTCAAGTTAATAACCTTAATATAATTAATTAATAAACTCTAATACTGTAATATTATTATCTGTATCTTATAAGTCAGCTTTATAAGATAAAGCTATGTTTTTAATTAATTCAAATCATTGATTAATTTCTCTTAATATTCTTCAAATCATGTATTGAAATCAGAAGAATTCTTATTATCTTATTAATATAATAAGTTGAACTGCTGTGTTACTATAAAACTGTAGTTATAGTAGTCTTTAATTTAATTCAGTAAAAAGTTCTTAAATTCTTCTTAAGTTATTACAGTATTAATATACTTAAGCTCTCTCTTCTTAGTAATTTAAGTAGTTGCAGAGATATCTTCAAGAAGGTTAACAGTGTATATTACTTATATTTTATAAGTATTAAACTGACTCAGATTAAGGCAGAATTTCTATTCAAGAGTATAAATAAAGCTGTAAAATTCAGATAATATATTTCTTTTATATCTTAGAGAATCTCTGATCTTAATCTCTCTATCTTTATAATAGATGTAGATGTGTAGAGACTACAGTAATAATAGAGTAATTAAAGAGCTTATATTAAAATATATAATAAGTTCAGAAATCTTAAATTTCTGTTAAAGTAAAGATATACATACTCTAAAGAATGATGTAAAGTTTCTCTCAGAGAGTAAGATTACATCAGTTTCAGTATAAGTGTATAAGATTATATTAGTCTGTTAGAGCTTAATTAATTTAAACTTATAATCAGATAAAGTAATTTAAATTATAATATAATAGAACTGAAACAGTAACTAGTTAATAGTATTATATAGAGATAGTTATTTAAGAAGCTGTATAAGTAAGCTTAACTATCTTACTTAAATAGTGAGCTTGTAGACTACAGAGTTATTGTAAGAATATTATAGATATAATACTTAGTATACTAAAAAGATTGTATAAGAAATACAGTAACTCTTATATATATTTCAGTAGAAGAAAAATGAATCACTGACTTCTTAAATAAGAAGTCAGTATCTAGCTATTCTATATAGATAATAAGTGAATACTCTTCTCTTATTTCATTAGTGAGAATAGCTGAAGTAATATCTTAGTAGTATCTTACTATTAAGAAAGAGTAATCTACTAATGTTATATAGAAGTAGAGTTCTTATATTTATCAATGAAATCTTTCTATAATATATCTGAATGATGTAATAGAGTAGTTGAAAACCGGTTTAAATGAGATGAAATTATCTGTATGAAAGTAATAAGCCGTGTGAAACTGTAACAGAGTCTTAACACAGCTGAGAGTATGATAATAATTAATAAATTCAATAATGTATTATCTGTATTAATACACTTTATCACTGTTATTAATCTGCAGAAGTATAATAACTGTATAATAAAATTTATATCTTTAAAGATAGTTATAACTTATTATTTATATTCTTCTTCTTCTTGAAATTCAATCTTATCAAAGTTATAGATATCACAGTGAAAAAATTAATATTAATTAAAAACAGCTTTATATTAATTAAATTAGTTAATAATGAAGCTTATATTCTTATAAGACACTTTTTTTAAATTCATGAGTTTTTATTTAACTTATTTATAATCTGACAGATATTTAATGAATTAATATATTTATATCTTACTTACTATAAGAGATGTAGTCTCTGAATCTGTATAATACTATCTTAATATATAGTTCACAGTAGCTTTAATATACTTGATAATAAGTGAGTAAAAATTAATATTTAATTAATGAATTTATATCTTAATTATCTCTTTCTAACTGTTATTTAATACTCAATTCAGCGAAACTCTTATAGTTCTTAATTTCTTCCTATTAATTCTCTTATATAAGATAATATATAAGACTTTGAATTCTCATATTATTATTATTATTATTCTTTCATTATACTCATATGCAAGCGGAGCTTATGATGAGTCCTTGTGTGATGTTAAATACAGGCTAAGTGTTGATTATACAGAAGGAAATACAGGTGTTAAGATCACATCAAGATAATAAGAACATAGAAAATACAAAGAAGTGACAATTAGATACATGCGATAATAACTTCCCAGCCCAGGAACATAGAGCGATTTATTGAAGCGATTTGTACACCTCTGTATTTATTAGAAACCTGAGGTGCTTGGGTTCCGGATTTAATGTATTCCCTGCGGGTTTCGAACTCACACGCCTTGGTTTCCCACGCCAAGGCGCTACCGGGTGGCCGCCTGGGGCTTTGAATTTTAAATTACTTTTATACATATTAACAGCTCTTTGCAACTGCTTCTCAGTGTAATTAGAAGATTTAGACATGATTATAATTAATAATGATTATGTGAAAGGTGTAAAGCTTGTGTGATTGAAAGGTTGCTAGCTTGTGAAAAGTTATATGATGGAAGAATTAGTAAGCCAGATCATGTGACCTGACACCCCCACTCACCAGAGTAACTATACACGATGCTATATACAAAATTCACCTTCAAATCAAGTACAAGTACAAAAAATGACTGGAAAATGTGTAGTAATGAAAAACCAGTCATGATATACATCATTTTTTATCCCTCTATCTCTCTATCTTCTTTATATTCTCTTTTCAACATGTATATTTCAAACAGTTGACCTCTTTAACACAGGCCTTGTAATAATACTTTCATTCCATGGAAGCTTTGACGTGTGTGAGGTTTTTCAGGATTGGAAGTGCAGCAATCTCGGGATCGGTGAGTAGGTCTTCAAGACTGTCTCTCACTGAAGCTTCCCTCACTGTAGTGATATTCCTTGTAGATGTCAGAGAATCATCAGATTCAACTGTGGGTTCTGGGGAGTTCAGTGTATTCTGCACTAAAAAGGTAGGTATTCTCGCGGAGATATCATAGTCAATCCACCAATTATTAGTGAGTATGAGAAATAATGGACACTCAGATTGGATTTCCTCATCAATGAACAGATCATCAATTGATGAATCAGGAATCACTGCAGTCTCTTGACGGGCCGCAGTCAGTAGGCCTGGTGTCGCTGAAGGAATCGCCGCAGCCGCATTGAGTAGAACCTTCAGGTTGTGCGTTGTAGCTGTTGTAGCTGTTGAGGTGGTGACAGAATGATTGTTGACATTCTGTGATTGATCCGTAGAGAATCTCTGTTGACGGAGTTTTTCCAGTTGTAGTTCGAGTTCTAGAACTCTACGCCTCTTCTTCTCTATCTCAAATGTCATCTTGAGATGTTCCATCTGTTGGTCTGATATTGCCCCGCCCGAACGGTAGACATCTGAGTGTCCAATATTCTCATCAAGAGAACCAGCTTCATCAAGCTGTCAAGTAGATCGGGGGGCCGGCCTGACCGTGTCAGAAGCTGTATTCAAACGAGCTTCGAATTGAGAGGGTGTTTCAACAATGGAGCTTTCAAAGGCTTCAGGAGGATGTCCACTGGCAGAGCATGAGTGTGAAGAATCATCATCATCAACTGCAACTGACCCAGTGGAAAGAACATGAGATCGCGAACGTGTATGTGAGCGGGATTGTATTGAATCTGTCATCTTCATATTTGTTTATTGAATCCTTGTCAATATTGTTCTCTTTTTCTTGCTTTTTTGCAAATGTGGTGTGTTTTCTGCAAGTCTCTTTTTTAAGCGAGTAGTAGTATTATTGATCATCAAGATCTCAAACACATCAATACTGATAGAATAAGATGATTTTAACTTCTGATGAGCATATCGAATGAAGCAGTAGTTTAAATAATGAGTATATTGACAAGGAATTCTGAATTGGCAGCGATTTTGCGCAAAACAGGTCTCATAACCTGTGAAAGGTGTAAAGCTTGTGTGATTGAAAGGTTGCTAGCTTGTGGAAAGTTATTATTGACCCTTACGGCCGTTGCGGTTAGCGATCCCACTAGATCACGTGACCCATCACTATATTATGTTCCTGTAGATAGATCTATCAATACAACCTTCAACTATTCTACAGATTATAGCCTGAATGATATGTTTTTCTTTTTAGAACATTGTATCAACATTTTTAATATGAATAGTTTATCTTTTTGAGAAGACTCTCACTCTTTATTAGAGATATTTCATTTTCTCTGAATCTGTCTATCAGTAGATTTATATACTTTATATTTTTAAAAAAGTGTATTCTTCATTGTGAAGAATATCACTTTTTTATTTTTTTTTTTTATATATCTAGAAGAAGCAGAGTCATCTTAATATAAGTGATACATCTGTTACTTCAGAGTTCAGCTTAAGACTCAGAATCACACACTTCACTAGATAACTCATTGATAGAATAATTACTTATTATAAGAAGACTTCTGACTTATAAGATAAGACTGAGATCAGTTTTCATCAGAGTATGAAATTTAATAATGAGATAATGAAGAAGTTTCAGAATAAAGAAAAGCAGAGTTAATATTTATCTACAGAATCTGTTTATTTTAATTTATTAAATTCTTCACTATTTCTCATCTCTGAAATGCTGACTTTTAATAATGATTCAAATCAATCTATCTATTACACTGCAGACAATCTTATGAATCTTATACAGATAATACTACAGAATTAAATGACTGTGACTGAAATTACTTAACATCTCACTACATCTGTTTCTGTATAAAGAGACACTATAAGAAATGAGTTACAGAAATATCAGAAAAAAGTCAAATATGTACTAGATATCAAATCAGTGACTACATTTAATAACTTTAATTATGAAGTCTGACATATTAATATATTAGCTGATGCAGAAGTTATTAATGAAACTGACATTCTATTAAGAACTTAATAAGAATCTTCTTTTACACATCACATTGACTCTGAGAAGTGAAGAATTCATTTCAAGTCTCTATATAGATGTATACTATTGAGTCTTATTAAAAACATTCAAATTACTATTGAAATCTTAAAAGCTGATAATACTGTGACTCTGTGAGATAAGATTAATATTGAATATATAATATCACTGATAGAAGAATGAGTTAATATCTTCAAGAAATTGATAAAATTATAAGTTAAGAAGAATGATTATCTTACTTTTCAGAGATATTTTCACTATCTTATTACTCATCACAAGAAGCTCTGTCAGAGTACTGAGAATGTATATTATGATCTTTTTCTTAACAATCTACAAGATTATCAAAGACTGTTTATCAAGACATATTTGAATGAGTTTTTTTTCACTAATCAGAGACTCATTATCAACATTGATATTAATGATTTCATGAAGTAACTGATTAATTGTACATTTAAGAAGATCATCACTGAGTGAAAAAAGCAGTCTCAGACTGATTCTGTGACTGTGAAAAAGAATAAGAATAAAGATGAGAATAAAAGCATATCTGTATGAAAGTGCACTCACTGCAGAAGACATGAATATACTGTTGACAGGTGTTTCATCTTACACTCTGATAAAAAGAAAAAGAAGGATGACAAGAAGAATGATAAGAAGAAAGAGAAGAAGAATGACTTGATAAGTTCTCAATCAGCAATAAATGCAGTAATTACAAAGATTGAGTTCTATTTCTCTTTCACAGTCACTGAAAAATCATTCTCTAGATCTTGATATTTGAACACATGTATAAGTCTGAATATGATGAATGAGCTTCATTCTTTTTCAAATATCAAACCTTTTAATGATAATATCTCTGTCAATTCTGTGACTGAGAGAACTGAGTTTATTAAGAAGATTGAAACTGTCATCTTGAAGATTGAGAATGATAATATTAACTTGCAGAATATTCACTATATTTCTAATATTACAGTTAATCTGCTCTCATTCATGAAGCTTGAAGATCAGGGATTTCAATTTACATTGTCTTTCACTATTCTCTTATTTTTCATTTGCAGAGCTCTGAACAGTGTTATTTTCTATACAGTTTGAACTGCTCAGAACAACATATATAAGATTGATGAACAGAAGTTCAATGAGAATCTCAATCATCTGAACAAGGCAGTCAAGTATATTGCAATGTCATATGAGTACAATTTTAACTGAAAAGTTAATCTTTCTGTGACTACTGCTACTACTGTTAATAACATTGATTTTACAGTTCTGAATACAGGTCTCAAGAATACAAGAATATCAAAGACTCTTTTGAACTGACACTGTGATCTCAGTCACATTCACACTGATGCTATAATTGCTATGACTAAGAATTCTCATACTGAAGTCATAATTAAAGATTCTAAGACTAAGTTCTTTTGTGAGAAATGTGTCAAGATAGATATAATATGAGATTATTCAAAAACACTGATGCCTAGATCTATTCAACTCATTGAGAAGGTTCATATTAATCTTGTAGATAACAGATATATATTGAAAGACCTCTCTGATCATCTCTTAGAGTTCTGTTAGAGAATCAAATACTGAATGCTTATCATCTGCAATGCAACTCACTATCATTGAGTATATTTTTTAAAGTTCAAGAATGAGGCTGTTCAATACTTTGAGTTATGACTCAGATTCATGAGTAATCTTGACTATACAGCCTCTGCTTTTCTATAGATTAATATTGATGATATTTTCTGATTCACATGTATACACACAGTTATAAATTCATATAATATCAAATGAGAATCAACAGTATTTCATTCATCACATCAGAATGATGTTTCTGAATGTGAAATTCACACTATTATGAGACAGGTTAGAGCTGCTCTTTTGAAAGACAATCTCTCTAAGAAGTTCTGAGCAGATGTTCTAGAGACAGTGATTGCAATAATTAATAATACTCTCACATCTACAGTTCTTTACAACTTGAAATTTTGATTCTCTACTGTAGAGACTTCTGTGATTTCAAGCTCATATAAGATTTCTTGATGTGCACTTATAAATATCTCACTGAATGTGAGGCATTTTCACTGATTGAGTACAGAGGTTTTTATTCACTTGTATAAATCTCAGCAGTCTGTGAATAAGCTCTCTTCACATGCTGATTTCTATTGTATCATTGAATTCAGTGACATATTAATATATCATCTATAACATTCTGAATCTGACAAGATTATTGTCAGTAGTGATGTGAGGTTCTCAATCACTGAAAAATCAGAATCAGTTATTATATCTGTAGCACTCACTAATAATACTGGTAAATCAGAACCTGATATTCATCTGATTAATGATGAAGACACTTCTGATATTGATAATCTGAATTTCACATGATTGTGACCCGCGAAATCGCTGACTACTTATACTTTAAGTCTTATTACAGGCAATCTTCTGAAGTTCTACAAGAATGTCATATCTTGATCAGAAGAAGTAGAAGATTATTGAAAGAAGTTTATATAATGCAAGATTACTAATCTGAAGAGATGTAATACATGAAGTTTGATTTCTAGATCTGATATTCTGAGAGATGAACTGATTACTCTGAGCTGTTAAGTGTTTCTTGAGAAAGATAGATCTGTGAATCTGAATACTAATTTTAATAATATTCTTAGAAAATCATATTGAGTGATTTATAATAACTGACTTAAGAAGAATTCTAGAGAAGAGATCTATACTTCTGTCATCACTGATACTGTTAATTGTATTCTTTTTACAATAGCAGTACTATGCAGTTGAATACTCTGTTAAGTGAATATAGTAATAGTATATCTGTATAAGTGTCTCACTAAGAAGATCTATATAAGATAACTCACTGAATTTGAGACAGATTCACTGAAAATGCTTGTCTATGTAATTGAGAGTAGTCTATACAGTCTGAATTCTGTGATGAAGATCTGATATAATTACTTAACAGCTCTGTTAAGCAATCTTGAATTTACAGTCAGTACTTATAATCTGATACTCTGATATCATACATTCAGATGTTATCTCTATATAATAATCTACATTGATGATCTCAACATTATATCTGAAGCTTCTGAGAATGCTGATTGACTAGTAAGTATACTCAGTGAGAAATTGAAAGTCAAGAATCTATGCCAGTCAATCAAGTATTTGAGTATAAAGATTAATTGTTCAGATAAGAAAATTGATTTAATATATTATTAATATATTAAATATCATATTAAAGATTTCTATCTTGATAATACAGCTGTTATTAGAATATCAATGAAGAATGAATTCTGTATTAATAATTTCTCTATATCTGAAAAAGAGACTGATTTCATAATTCAGTGATATTAACATGATGTGAATTACTTGTAATATCTTGCAGTTAAAACATATTCTGATATTACTCATACTGTCTTACTACTCACTCAATGAAATGTTGATTCAACATCTCAATGTTGAAAGACTCTATTATATGTTATATGTTATTTGAAAGAAATCATAAATCTGAGCATTTTCTACAGACATAATCTGTATAAGAGATCTGTTTCTTCTATTTCTACTAATCTTTTCATTATCTCTGATTTCTCTGATGATTTCTATCTACTCTTTAACTACTCAGATTCTGATTAGATCAGTCTCTTGAATAATGATAGAAAATTAACATTCAGCTGCATTTTTAAGCTCACAGATAGCTCAATTTCATAATATTCAGTGAAGTAATCTTGTATATTACTAAGTTTTAATAAGGCTTAATATATAACTCTTAGTAAGATGATCTGTGAGATAATATAAATCTGAAATCTTATGATTAAGCTTGGCTTCATTACTACATCTCTGATACAGATTCTTGCTGATAATAAGAGTATTATAAATCTTATAAAGATAGCAGTTATTACAGTCTGAAGTAAATACATTGATATATGTTTTCATTTTTCATGTTAACAGTTGAATCAGAGAGTCATTGATTTAGAATACATTCTCAGCACTCAGATAACAGTGAATAAACTCACTAAATCTCTAAACACTGTGATATTTGCATGATTCATGATTTTACTAGGTCTTACAGATATAAAAGTTGAAAATGTTTAATTTTACATTTGTATTTAGTTTTGACAGACTATCTTGATGATTTGAGTGTTTTTGTATGTGATTCTTGTTATCTCGAGAGGGGGTGTTGGCCCTTATGACTGTTGCGGTTAGCGATCCCACTAGATCACGTGACCCACCACTATATTATGTTCCTGTAGATAGATCTATCAATACAACCTTCAACTATCCTACAGTTATATGGTGGAAGGATTAGTAAGCCAGATCACGTGACCTGACAGATTATTTGAAGATGAAGAATGAAGATATTGAAAATATTTTCTGTACAGTGTGGTTTTCCGTACACTGTGGCGCACTCACTACAGAGAGTGAGTAAGCATGGCACGGTTACTTGATTTTCAGACAGCTATTGCCCTATTGCGATCTGCATAGCAAGTGGATAGGCAATGACGGAAAGGTTGGCTCGCATTTCTGATAAAAAAGAGACCTTTCCAGCCTATTCCCCCGTCTCTTCAGAAGGCCAGGTAATAAATTGGCTCTTCGGTCCCAAGACGGCAGGTGGCCCAGCAATAGTTTCCTTGACCTTTGTTTCCACTGAATCTGGCCATGCTGAACTAGCACCGTCATTTGTAAGCCCGTCGGCGGGTGAAACTCTCGTCACATCGAATGAACGGATATGCGGAGTATATCCATGGCTGGACCGGTGCTGCTTATTTAGGGATAGCTGTGGGTTTTTCACAGCCACTGTGATATGCGGCTCATCTTTGACATATTTGCCCCTGGTTCGAGTTGACGGATGGATGTAGGAACTATGGCGGGGAAATAAGCTTTACTGATTCTATTTTTGAGTTGATTTAACTTACCGAATGAGGACTCTGGTGGTATTTGGGTCTGTTTGGATAGCTGTTTCATATGCAGCATGCATTAGCGCTCGAGCGATAGTTTCGTTTTTGGGCCGAGCGATCTTCCATATATACTCTATTGTCTGCGAAGCCATAGCTATCTGACGTTAAGCAACTGGAGAGCAAATTGTACGAAATCAATAGATGAATACGGCGGGGGTGAGGAGGATTGGGGAGGGTTAAAATACCGCGTCAAGGAAGAGAAAGGATGAATTTTTGTATGCAGCTTCTTCAGGATATGACTAATGATATCGATAAGAAGCGTTACGTAGGTGGCTAGTGCTAAGAAAGGCCATTTCAGATTTTCGCTTTCCATCGCCGATTCCCTAAATGCGACATCATGATCTCCAGCCACAGACACTTTCCTATCAGCGGATTGAAATTTTTCTTATTCCAATTTACACAAAACCAGCACAGGCTTCACAGGTTTTCATTGACTTTGGCTACGTCTCTACATAGGGGTCACACGTCCATGGCTCGCTCCACATCCCCACCATCCGCTCAGAATATATACCATCCGGGGGTAGATCTGGAAGATTTTGAAGGGTATACGCATGGCGGATTCCACCCAACCCTTATCGGCGACACATTTTGTGAGGGACGCTACACTGTGGTCCACAAGCTTGGCTTCGGCGGCTACTCAACTATCTGGCTTGCACGAGACCGACGAAACCAACGATATGTATCCCTGAAAATACTGACTGCAGAAGCATCACGAGAAAGTCGTGAGGATGAAATACTTCAAATATTAGCGAAGGGTGACTCGACCCACCCTGGGAAGAGATTTGTTCCTTACCTGTTGGACCGATTCTCTTTCGAAGGTCCCAACGGACACCATCGGTGTTTGGTCGGAGAGCCTGCTGGTTGTAGCTTGGCTAAATCTAAGGAAGATAGTACGAATCTCATGTTTCCACGGGATGCGGCAAGGTCGATTGCTGCTCAGTGCTTTATGGGAGTGTCTTATTTACATGCAAATGGTGTATGCCACGGAGGTAAATGAAATCGATGGTAGAATCCTAAATTTTTGACTGCAGATACTTATGCAGAACAGATCTTCATCTACATAACTTACTCTTGCGTGTCCCAAACTTCGATAGTTTGAGTGCGGATGATTTATACAAGCGTTTTGGAAAGCCGTACGAGGCTCCAATTCGACGACTGGACGGGAAACCTAACAAGCCACACGCACCTCCACATGCCATTAATTGCATGGCTTGGAATATGCCTGCAAATGAAATTGCAGAACCAGAGATTGTCATATCTGATTACGGGACATCGTTCATTATATCCCAAACACCCTCTCCGACGCTTCACACACCGATCCTTTACGCGCCGCCGGAGGAATTCTTCAACGAAACCATCACTAAACCCACAGCAGCCGACATATGGACGCTTGGGGTTAATTTATATGACGCCATGGGCGAGCGTCCACTTTTCGAAACTTTCGCTTGGGACCCAGACGATATTATCGCGGAGATGATCAATACGCTTGGGCTACCACCCCAGAGGTGGTGGAACACTTGGGCCAAGCGCTCTGAATTCTTCGAGGCGGATGGTTCATGGGTCACCGATTTTCGGCGTATTTGTGACCCTATTTTCCGACGCCTTCCGAAGCGCATCTGGGATATGGGCCGTGGCGACACACCAGACACCTGTGAGTGGGACGTTCCTGGCGGCGAGTTTAATGCATTAGAGTGTCTTTTTCGGGCAATGTTGTCATTTGAACCGACCCAGAGACCGACCGCCGAACAGCTCTTAACATTTGAGTACACTGTGAAGTGGGCGATGCCGGCGTGGGAAAATCAGATGAAGAGATCTTGTACGCATTCCATGGAGAAGAGATGACGAGCCACGGGTTTTCATGGTCCCATAAAAGCATATCAAGCCTGGTGTGAATACATTCTCATGCTTTACAGCATTCAACAAAGCCTTCTAACTTGGAATGTATATTACATGAATGCAGAGATTGCTTACAGGCGGATGGCTAATAATTTTCAACCAAACCTTGAGCATGGGGTTCACTTTTCGGAGCAACATTCACACTTTATCTCCTAGGCGGGTGAGCGATTACGAGGGTTTTTCTGGCAGGTTCAGCCCTGGAACTTATAATGTTCCGTACCGAAGAGAGGCCTTGTTCGTTCATACCATACGGGAAGAACGTAGGGTTAATTTACAGTGATTACACTGTGGATCCACCATTCCACCCGTGTCACGTGTCGCTGATTGTAACACATGTTTCATCATTATATTCAGTAACATGTCACTGAATATTAAATATCAAGATAATATTGAGACAGTGCAGAACTTTCTAATATTATCATGATTAGACTGACCGTGTGACCGTGTCTGAGACCAGGACCAGATTTTTTGATAGTCTCATTACCAATTCGACTGATCCCATTACATGGTTTTAATATTAGATAGTAGTTTCATACTGTTTCAGTGAGTCTTACTGTCTACTCTTGTCACATTTTTCAAATGAGATCATGATTTCCACTTCTTAATTTAAATTATTTTTATTACTTTAAATGACTTTAAATCTCATTTGAGTGTTATCAAAAAGTGTTACTTTTTAAAAAATTAAAAATAGTCTAAAAAAAACTGTAAAATGTCTAAAAATAGTAACTTTATATCAAGAATGAGACTAAATGAGATTAAATGAAATCACTTTCTCATTTTTTTCAAGTTATGATTTCATTTTAAGATCTGATATATAGTTACTTTACATGTTTTTTTAATAGATAGTCTCAGCAGAATTCATATCAAGAAATGTATGAGATCAGATTAAATGAGATTAAATGTGAAATTCATGATCTCAGTGATCAGTCTAATCATGATACTACTTAGTAATTATGTAATTAATAGATATTATTATCAGAATACTATTAGAATACTATAAGATACTGTATACTATTCTGTCAGTGAAATCAATATTATTAAGCTAGTTAGTTATCTATTACTCAGTATAATAATAACTATTTATTAACTATCTATTCTATTTAAAGAAATAAGATATCTTAATTATAATATAAATATCTTATTACTCAAGACTTATATATTAAATAATTATTATTTTTATAAGAGATCTACACTGAATAGATCAGTATAATATTTATAGATAGACTGACTACTGAGATTATAAATTTCATATTTAATTTCATTTAATCTGATCTTATACATTTCTTGATGTGAATTCTACTGAGACTAATTATTAAAAAAACATGCAAAGTGACTATATATCAGATCTCAAAATGAAATCATAACTTGAAAAAAATGAGAAAGTGATCTCATTTAATCTTATTTAGTCTTATTGTTGATATAAAGTTACTATTTTTAAACATTTTAAGGTTTTTTTTAGACTATTTTTAATTTTTTAAAAAGTAATACTTTTTAATAACACTTAAATGAGATTTAAAGTCATTTAAAGCAATAAAAATAATTTAAATTGAGAAGTGAAAATCATAATCTCATTTGAAAAATATAATAAAAGTAGACAGTAAGTCTTACTGAGATAGTATGAGACTACTATTTAATATTAGAACTGTGTAATGAGATCTGTTAAATTAATAATAAGACTATCAAAAATTCTGGTTCTGATCTCAGACACAGTTACATACTCAGTCTATTTATAGATCTTATATAACAAAGTGAAAAATGTTAAAGAAGAAAAAGAAAGAGAAAGTACAAGAATCAGTGATTAAAGTAAATATTTATACATATATATAATGATGTATGTAATAAAGCTTCAAGGTGAAAGAATTTACATATGTTCATAGTGACTGAGAATCAGTGATTGAGAATGACTGAGAATTGAAGTATATATATTTAAGAATAACTGATTGAAACATACATGTTCATGATAGCTGAGAATCAGTAATTGAGAATAGAGTGGTAAAAATCTATAGAGAGTAACAGAATAGTCTATATAATTGATTGAGTACAGCTTATCACATTAACCTCTCTCTTTCAGAAGCAGTTTTCATCAGTCAAGAGCTGCTATTTTAGATAATACAGAACTCAGAGTTCAGATCAGTTAATTATAGTTAACTCATTTTATAAAATATTATCAGCTACAGCTGTGTAATCTCTTATTAAGAATATTCTCAATCTCTGACTTAAGCTTATTATCTTTTTCTATGATTTCTGATGACTGTCAGTTGAAAGTCAGTTAAGAAGAAAGCAGATCAGTGACAGTGTGATGAAACAAGCTTGTATAAAAGACATTATGAATTTCTGATAGTATGTTAAGATGATAGTGCCCCGGTGGCCGAATGGTTAATGCGGCCACCCGGTAGCGCCTTGGCGTGGGAAACCAAGGCGTGTGGGTTCGAAACCCGCAGGGGATACATTAAATCCGGAACTCAAGCACCTCAGGTTCCTAATAAATACAGAGGTGTACAAATCACTCCAATAAATCGCTCTATGTTCCTGGGCTGGGAAGTTATTATCGCATGTATCTAATTGTCACTTCTTTGTATTTCCTATGTTCTTGTTATCTTGGCATGGTCTCAACACCTGTATTTCCTCCTGTATAATCAACACTTGGCCTGTATTTAACATCACGCAAGGACTCATCATAAGCTCCGCTTGCATATGAGTATAATGGAAGAATAATAATAATAATAATAATAATTAAGATGATAGTTATAGCTATCTAGAACTGCTATCACTTTATATCTGACATGATAATAATCTAGTGTATAAGATAAATATATGATTTATATATTTTTATAATTCAATTATATAAGATATTCTATTTTATACTGCTCTGCAGAATCTTGTCAGATATTAATTTAATCTTCTTAATTTTATTTTATAGTTCTTATAAAGATCTCTGCTCAGTTACAAGTATCTCAGAGCTCTATTACTATATTATCAGTGATCTGAATTGAACTGTAGAGATTCAGTGTGAACTGTGTAATCTCTAGAAGATTTAACACTTTTATGTAATATCTGTATGTAAGAAAAAATGAGCTTACATCTGTTGAAATAATATCTCAATCATTGATAGTAATCTCTGTATGTAGAAGAAGATTATGTTAATTATTTTAGAAGTAATTACAGAACTTATGAAGATAATTCTTCACAGTCTCAATTATTCACTCTGATATACTATCAGTCTCAGAGTAATAAGTAGTTAACAAATAACATATAATCTTAAGAACTTGACAGATTTTTATTTAGAGAGTGCTTATGATTTGACAGCTCTGATCTGATACTATAGATTATAACAATTTATACATCTGATAGAATGAGGTCTGTAGAAAAGCTTTGATAACTTATTTAGTATTTATCTTATTACAAGGTTTCAATATTATATCTTTACTCAATTAATTCACAATGATTAGAATGTTTCTACAATTCTTACTTATGAAAAGATTAATAGTGAAGTCAATTATCATATCTCATCAGATTCTATCAGAGATATTAAGTGATTTCAGCAGGTCTTTTCTATAGTTCTTTTATAAGATGATGAAAGAATAATAGTTGCAGTTTCAGACAAAACATCTGATACTATTTAATATCTCAGATGAGTAGAATTCTCAAGAGATTATTTAGTACAGTTATTCACAGTCTGAATAACTAATCATATATGAATCATGCATCTCTTGTATTATTCAGATATGTAAGAGTTCAGAGTGAGAGACTCAGTGTTATTTATAAAATTGTAAAGTGTTATTATCATTGATTAAATATTATAAGATGTCAGTTCTTATACATAGTTCTGAGAGAAATCAGAGTGTCTTTTATTATACTGCTTCAGTGAGTGCTTGAAGAAGTTTATCAGTTTAAGCTGCTGTATATTATAATTTATCTATGGTTCGGAAGAATGTACGACTGTCGGATAATAACGCGGCCGCTTCCGAACTTGCTTACAAATGTAAAGGGGTCATAGCGGCCACTAATTAATTTAGCAGATAATATATAAGAAGTCAGTGTACGTCTGTAATCATACACTGACTTAAGCAATCTTTGAATCACATCTGATAGCATGTCTAAAAATCAGTGAGAAGTGCAGACTTCTTCAGAGCATGATAATTTCATCTATGAAGTGATTTATAGTTATCATATCAGTGTAATTCTAGAACATCTCAAAAGATAGTATATAAAGAGTAGTGAGCAGAAGAGAATCTGATTAATACTACTTCACTTATTAAGAAAAAACTTCATACTCAGATGAATGCCACATATACAAATGAATAAGATGTGAGAAAGAAGATGAGAGTGATGAACCAGATTCAAAGAAGTCTGCTTTCTACTCAAAAGAAGAATAAAAAGAGAGAGTGATCATCACTGAAGTCATATAATAATAATAGAAATCATATAATAATATAGTGATATAACAATAGACATTATACAATTAATAAGAAACTACTGAAATGAATATCTTCTCTAGTTAATATAAACAACATTCTTCTCTGCTATCTGAACTGAAAGATATACAGAACCTCTCAGAGAGTTTACTTAAAGTAGTAAGAAAAACAGCTGAAATCACTGAACTGAAATCAAAGCTTCATACATGTATGAGAATTCTAAACAAGATTGAGGCCTTGCATACACAGTGACAGGCTGAGATGAAAGTTAAACAACAAGTGATATTCACAGTAGATTAAGTATTCATTATAAAGAGCTTCATTAACACAATCACTATTATCAATAAGAATAGAGAAAACCAGGTCTTAGATCTGCAGTGAGAGATCAAATATTTACACAGATAGATAACTACACTGAATCTGAAGATTTCATCACAATTATTCATAATCTCTTTAGAAGTGTACATATCATCAGAGATCACTGTACAGAATGAGAATTATTATTATTATTATTCTTCAATTATAGATGTATACAGTCAGAGACTATGATATCTACCTGAGAATCTTTAGTTCTCAGGGTTTTTCCTATATCTATAGAGTCAACTATTATACATTTATCAATTTCAAATATGCAAAATCAGAAAATTCCAGCTCAGAATACAAAAACTGTTTACAAATTACAGTATTTCAACACCTTCTGATAGTTTGAAATCATTTGAAAATATTATGATAAAAGAAAAGAGAACATAGTCTTAAAGATAGACATATTAAATAGATAGAGAAAAGAATAGAAGGAAACAAGTACAGTAAAGAGAGACTATAACAAAACAAAATTATTAAAAGATGATATATAGCTGTTTTAACAGACTATATCTAGTCAATTTCTACTGCTTCATATTCAGATACTTCTGAATTCAGTCATTTTCTTGTAGCTGCTCTAGTTTCTGATAGAAAGTCTATTAAGTATTTAGTTCCTATCTCAGTTGAGAATAAGAACCTCATATTTAATTGATTTAAATCATACTTTTTCTTTAATCTGACTCTGAGACTATTGTATAATGCACAATGCATTACAATATACTCAGGAT